CGCAGAGCAGAGAGTGGGAGCTCCAGGCCTTGATTTGCCAACACATTTCCAATGATTAAAACGTAATTAGCACTAGCGAGCGCCTCCTCCCTGGCTAATTTCGCTGCACGCTGTGACAGGCAGGCGGCCGGCGGCGGAGCGGCCCCAGTGGCAGATGGAGAAGCAGGCAGCAGGAGGGGAAAAACCATTTTGCCGCGCCATGGTTTGCATCAGAAAACCATCAGGACGCACAGCTTTTTCTGTGGGAGGTAGGAGGAGAGGGAGAGAAAGAATGAGGGGGGACGAGGGAGGTGGGGCACGTAGCTCTCCGTGGCAGCGCATCAAATTGGCACTGTCAGAGCTGACCCTGGCAATGGCTGCCATTCTTCAAGCTGTCCCCCACCGCCACCCACCATAGCCCGCAGGCAGAGCGAGAGAGAGAGCGACAGCAGAGAGTGAAAATAGCATAGGGAAGAGAAGAGGAGGAGGGATGGAGGAAGAGAGAGAGAGAGAGCGCATACCAACCTATCGTCAACCTTCCGGACCCCCGCTGCCTCTGTAATCAAGCTCAGATCAGTCTCAATTAATTTCAGCATTCGGTGACAGTGCCAATTACAACACAATGGCAAATAGACCATGAAATGGAACGTCGAACACTTTGCGTCCTAACTTGACATTTGACTGCGGTTTTACATCAATGACTGCTAAATAAGAACAGATCTCTTTATGCGCTGTTTTCGAACATATTTTTGAAGCATATTTTCGGAGTGTTTGCTGTGTTTGGCTCGTAGCGGTGCTGGATTTAAACCACACATTTTTCATTGTGTTGGCCCTTCACCAGAGTGTGTCATGCAAGTTTGATGTGGGCTCCAAGGTTTTCGTTTTTGAGAAGTCTGGTTCAGCTCGGAGCCTCGGACAATGGCAAAAATGCAGCTCAGAAAACGATTGCTTTTGTGTCTTTATTGCCTGCCATTGTTAGCCGCACTTACGAGGCCTATGGGATTTGACTTCAAATAAGAAATTAAATGTATTTTGCTTGAAGATATTTTCATGTAAACGCTCTCTTTGGAAGTTTGTCGTTGTAGATGTGTTGTTTAAAAACCAGCCAATCAAAGACTTCCATTCCAGTCCAGACTTTCAAGAACCCATGTAATTGTTTAAAGAGTGCTGTGTTGACATTTCATGTTGTAACAAGATGTTGGCGACATATCAAAGGGCTTTTCCCATTTCATATAGCCAGTGGACAAACCACAAATCATTGAAGGCATTGCCTTTTTGCCATTTCCTTCTTAAACAAATTGATAAGTAGTATGAGCAAAGGTGCATAACGAACCATGATTTCTTAGTTTTCATGCTTCACGATTTTTCTAAAATATGTTGAATAATTTTTTATTCCATGAGGCTTTTCAAGATGTGTTTAGCTCCCATGCTGCACTGCTGCAGTACAGACTGCATGAACACTACTGGTCTCATTCGGAGGCCTAATCAGCTCCTTATTCTTCCTCCTTCGCTGTATCTGAGGAGTGTGTGTCTAACTAAAGCAGATGGCTCTCCTGTTCCACTGAGGCCATTGGCTGTTTTAGTAAGCTTAACATGCTATATTGATCTGCAGCCAAGATCAATTGGCGAAGTGTTTGGCTTTGAAATTAACACCACACCAGAAAAAAAAGCAAGAAAATGCTGAGTTGGATTCCCAAGTTAATCCATCCAATATGACTGTAATACCAAGTGTTTTAGAGGAATTAAATATGTTGGACTGACCATCATTATGCCAATCTCTTCATATTTACTCTCGTCAGCATCCTTTACTGTTGTTTTCTTCGAACTTCATCAGTCCAAATGGATGTGTGCTTCTTCAGTCAATAATAAATATAACTTATATTATATTATATTATTAATAAAGCTATATATATAGTTAACTAGCAATTATAATATAAAATTAATATTTTATTACATTCTAATTATATTGTGTATATTGTATTCTGTATATAGCTTTAGCATACAGTGGGTACGGAAAGTATTCAGACCCCCTTAAATTTAAATAGAACAGGAAATGGTGGAGAGAAAGCCAGGGATGGAAAAATGTCACTTGACTCGAACCTGCATCTTCCACATAAGCATGTTAAGCATATGCACTAAGCATTATGCCATGACTCAGACATTCTAATATACTTTGAATCACAACATGTAACAGATCTTACCTTTTTTGATTATTTGTGAAAAGTGCAGCTTCTCCTGTTAAGGACAAACAAGCTGCCTGCCCAATCTCATCTTACCTTTTCCGTTACTTTTACTTTCCCACTATAAAGGTATTTCCGTCTGGACCCACACCTCCTTTCTCAATTTCTTCTCTCAGCACCAGTACAGAAATTTGCATACCTCTATTCTTGGAAAGTAGGAGCAGGAGAGAGAGAAAGAATAATGACAGCAATTTCTTCCCTTTCTCCACTTGCTGGCTTGCGAGAGTGTCGTTTAGCGGCACCTGTGTTATCGACAGGCACGCGGATGAGAAGCGAAAGAGAGCAGTTGATTAAATCATCAAGTCGCAGCGTAGAAAGTCAATTCTGCTCACCGTCTACAATGATATCCTTTTATCCTGACGTAATGAGCTATGGCACTTTTGCATTGGGTAATGCGATGAGTTCTATTAGCGCGTTCCATTTGCTTCACAAGCAAGGGCGAGTCATTTCGTTCCTCTCATATCTCCGCAATCAAAGCGCTAGACTGGGCGCGGGGAGCACTGACACGCCAATGGAGATGCCGACGGTGTTTTTATGGATCACAACACACTGGAAATATATATTTTGCTCATTATTTTAACTCTTCACGAACCTTGGCTAGGCCAAATGAGGGGGAGCCCCAGGCCTTTAGGAAAGCTCTATGCAGTCGTGCATGTTAGATCGACTATTATGGCCCAGGATGGGAACAGAGTTAAATTCAGTTATATTCAGAAAGCTTCAATAATATGATGCCGATTTTGTTTCATAGCATTTTTACTGTAATGCTAACAGTTTTAGCATTCTGGCACACACCAGAGCAGTAGGTTATTAACATCTGGTATGTGTGTGTGTTTATTGGTTATGTATAATACATGAGCCCCGTATGTCTCAAATCCCGTTGGACTGGGGTTGTAAATTGGATGCTGCTCACCAGGCCCTGTATCAGGTCAGACGGGAGAGACTTGTGCCAGAATATAACCCCCCACCCTTGCTGTGTCCCGTCCTCTCACTTTCTGTCCCTAGCACTCAGTCCTTGCAGGAATATGGATACCAGTACTGTCAATCATTCAGGGCTGCCACAGGGTTAAGCTCCACTTGGTGTAATTGGCCCTGAAGACCTTAGGCCCCGCCCCCTAGCAGGCCTTCATTAGGGAGTCCAAGCTCAAACCCTGAATGCATCTCCCCCAGCCAAGTCATCTGTGTGCTCCTTGCTAATTAGCAGATAAAGAATTAAGTGGACCTTGAAATTGAAATTGGTCAGAAAGGCTTAAATTCAGCATTTTAATATCATGCTATGTTTATACATTTTTTTTGCCAATTATTCGTTGGCTTATTTTGCATGGAGACACCAATGCCCTCTGTTGTTTTGTCTTGCATTTGTTTGTTTTTTTTACTATTCCTTCAGTGTAACGTCTGTAATATTACATGTGGTTCTTTTTAGTGAATCAAAAACATACAGTGCGATCAGTGTAGCCAACTTCTGAAAACAAGTGACTCTTATGAATTGTTTCCTTTTACTGAATCAAAAACATACAGTGTGACCAGTGTAGCCCAGTTCTCAGAATAAATGACTCATATGAACTGGTTCTTTTTAGTGAATCCAAAGCATGCAGTGCTACCAGAGTAGATTGATTCTGAAATTGAATGACTCTTATGAACTGGTTCTTTTTAGTGAATCCAAAGCATGCAGTGCTACCAGAGTAGATTGATTCTGAAATTGAATGACTCTTATGAACTGGTTCTTTTTAGTGAATCCAAAGCATGCAGTGCTACCAGAGTAGATTGATTCTGAAATTGAATGACTCTTATGAACTGGTTCTTTTTAGTGAATCCAATTTATATTGTAGAGCACCTCCAGTGTAGTCTGTTTCATGAACGAATCACTCATGTGATTCTTTTTAGTGAATCAAAAACATACAGAGCATCCAGTGTAGCCTAATTCATGAACAAATGACTCTTATGAGCCAGTTCTTTTAAGTGAATCAGAAACACAGTCTGACCAGCGTAGCCCGATTTGAAAAATGAATGACTTTTATGAACTGATTCTTTTTATTAAATAAAAATCATAGTGTGACCAGTGTAGTCTGATTCATGAACAAATGACTCCAATGAGTTTTTTTAGTGATCTAAACACGACCGATGTAGTTGAAATATCAAAATAAATGTCAGTTTTGAGCTGGTTCTTATAATGAATAGTTCAAAATATGCTTTGAATGAATCTGAAACTGTCCTGTCTAATTTACAATTTATAATACTCACATGAATCAGAATCGAATCAGGAGCTTATGAATTGGAATCTAACTGAATCAGTAAATCGGCATCTATACCGAATCCTAACAAAAATGGAATTCATTTTATTGTTAGCTATTTTTGACCAAAGTAATCGATTCACTGAATTTCAGGATTGATTTCATGAGCAAAATGCACAGTTGTTTCTGTAAACAATCAAACTCTGTGCACAGAAGAAGATTAAGCAGCGGACTGACAGCTGTATTTAGCTGCAGTGTGTCTGTGGCCTATGAGACGTGAAGACTCGTACTCTACTTGCTGTCAGGGAGAAAAAACCCTGCTGGTGGTAATAGGCAGATGTAATGAGGCCTGGCCACTGAGTGAGATAAGAACAGCCTTTTCCTGCTTAGACTTTTATTACTCTGCTGATGAGCTGTGCAGTGCGAGACTGCTGAAATCAGATTTCCACTTCATAATAGCTTTATATTTAAAAGCAAGAAAAAAGTGTTTCAGCTCCATCACATCTACCAGATTCTGCACTGTTCTAATGTGTCCTTTTTCTTTGCCTTGCAGTGTGACACCGAGAGTGACCAAGAAGACAAGGTAAGACTGGGCCTTATTATTTTTGTTACAAGACCAGCAACTTTACGTGTAGGAATTCTCAGTGTTGAAATGTGTCATAATACTTTCTCTTATCCCAACAATATGCAGAGACAACTACAAAAACCCTGTTTTAACAGCGATTATATCACTGGAGGTCACGCACTCACGGTGTAGTTTGTTTCTGGTAATCGTTGCTGTTTTTAGGTGGCAGATCAGCTCTCCCATTGTCTGCATCAAATCAACGCTAGCTTGCATAAATCATTTGTTGCATTGCCTCTGGTTGCTTTGATGGAAATTTATTTTTACAGTGCTCTTTGGTTATACTTGCAGTACAAAAAATGCATAAAAGTATATGTACATTAATAATTATTATTTATCATTTATTATTATTATTAATGTATTTATTTATATACTTATTTATTCATTAATTTAAATCTGCAACTGACTGATAGAATTTATTTAATAAAATGTAAAATAAATTATTAATAATTTTAATAATTTTAAAAATATAATTTTTTATAATTTATTATTATTATATAGAATTTATTTTAAAAATGAACAAAAAAACCTAATTGTAATTGTAATGTACTGAATTGTGCTTTTCACAAATTCCAAGAACTGTTAGGAAATGCAAAGCTACAGTAGTTAGTACTAGCAGCTGTAGTATTAGTGTTATTAATACCATGTTACATCATATAGCACTTCTAAAATGATCTTTATTCTTTTTTAATCAAACTTGAATCAATGAGAATCCAATATTAGACTCTACTTAAAAGTGTGTTTCTATTTAATTAGAATTACCATCTTGTTAATGACTGTGAGAAGGCCTTAATTAACTCCGCATTAATTATGAACGACTAAATGGTGTGCGAAATTTGAAAAGAACCATTACGAGCTTCACAAGTTACATTTTACACATATTACCGTGTAGCAATTCCTACAGATTTATTTAAGGTACAACCCACAGGACATAGGGTATGATGATTTATGTTAGGTATTATATCAGTCATATTTATAGTGTAATTATAACAAAATGAGGCTATTATTTAAATGCATGAATTTAATTTAACACTAGGCTCTAGGCTAACTTTGATGCCAGCTATGAAAAGCTTGACAAGACACATCGTACCACTTATATACTGTCTGCCGAGCATCAGCATGATTACACGAAAATGTTGTTTTGTTCGCTCTTTTTGAATGTTCCTCATTTGTTGTTTTAAACCAGTGGTTGTTTGATGACGACGAGTCGAATTAGCCATGTCAGTCAAAGCCCTTTTGTTGTGGCATGGCAGAGATGTGCGGCGTACGACATTAATCGCTGTTTTGCTCGCTGTGTTCCTGCTTCTCATTATTCCTCTAATGATTTTCACAATGTCATGTCATTCTCTTTGCCTTTGATTAATTATGTCAAAACAATGGAAGGGTTTAGTAGGTAAACAAAGAAACAAGAGCGCTCTCTTTCAAACGCACACACATCCGCAAACACTTCAGAGGGACCTCTTTCTGTCAATAGCTCTTAAAATGTGTTTACAAAACCGTGAGCATGTTGAGCTGCGTTAGCAATAAGCGACAGATCTGTGATATTTTCACATGCTTTTTCTCTCTGGGAATGAATTCAGTAGCTCTTTCCCCTGCAATAGCGGTTATATACAGTATATATTCAGCAGCCGTAGGGGAGGACGACTTGTCACATTAATGGGTCAGTTCTATTCATCCACAGGCAAACTGTCTCTTTTTATTCTCCTCCGGCCCAAATCAGGAAATGAAAAAAGACACTCTGGAGAAATCACTTTCTGACTTCATTTAATTACAAATTAAATATTTTTTAATAATAATAATAATAATTCAATTAATCAATATACGAGTTATCTTGTAAGCTGTATTATTTAATATAATGCTAAATAATATATATTATTTATAAAATACTTTCAAATGAAGGCTTCAAATGGAGGCTTACTATAAAAAATTATGTCAGCAATTATTCCTTTCTTTCTCTTAAGTAGTTTACTCTGTAATAATGATGCATAACATGTAGGTTTGATTAATTAGTATAATTGATGCAATGGTGTTTTAATAATTTTATTATAAAATAATAATTTTAACATTAAATGCTAATAAAGCTACCAAATTGCTGTTTATCTTAAAAGGGTATTTTTAATGTTAATGGGAAGCAGCGTGTGTGTGTGTGTGGACGTGTTGCATGAAGTGTGAGAGTGTTTAATGGCCTTTTGACATCTCGTTTGTGTTAGCTGGAGCAGAGCGAGAGATTTATTAAATGGTACAGTTCAAGAATGATAAGAACGAGGCTTTTTTTCCTCCCTTTTTCCCTTAAATGACAGTGCATGTTCATATTTCTTAACCTGGTTATCAAAATGCCCTACAGGAAGTGATGTCATAATTGTATTTCCTGTGATACAGCTACAGTCAACATCCCATCACCAGTTTAATTGGCAAACCTCCAAGTAATGCATCATTTTTACAGAACGAAACTATATATTTACTGTAATATTCTATGTAAATAGTTTTATAACTTGTATACATTTGATTTGAAAAAAGAATGACTTTATAGATATATGAATATATTTTTAAAGTATTTAATAACAGAAATATATTAATATATCTAAATATTAATACTAAAATTATTTTAATAATATTAATAAATTAATACTATTTAACTAGCTTTACATGGAGGCTTAACTCTTACAGTTTATTAATATGAATATAATTTTTTATTTATTTATATTATTTTTTTATTTATTAAATAGTATAACAATTGTTTAAAGTCTGTACACTGTTCATCATGCGGACCGGGCCTATTCCAACTGGAACACGGCCCTAGTCCTGCTGTCTGCCCTCTCTGGCTCTCTCTCCTCTCGCTCTCCCTCTCCTGCTGCTGGATGAATTGGCAGCATGCAGGCCGAACAGCGTCCAGAATGCTCTGAAACGTTTAAAGACCGTTGAGGCTCAAGTGAATCTGTGCCGATTTTAGCCAGCAACAAATCAGCACATGTGCTCAGGCTTAGTGCCTCTCTACCCTCAGAATCCCTCTTTATGTCTGAGCCATGGTGCAGTGGGTTACACATGTGCTATTGACACATTAGCCATTGTAGCTTCAGGTTTAAGTATGACCAGCGTAATGTCTCTGTCTCCCTGTCTCAATTTACTAATCTGAAAAGCTTGATTTTTATATCAATAATAAGGTGTGTGTGTGTGTGTGTGTGTGTGTGTGTGTGTGTGTGTATATATAGATATCTGAGCCATGGTGCAGTGGGTTACACATGTGCTATTGACACATTAGCCATTGTAGCTTCAGGTTTAAGTATGACCAGCGTAATGTCTCTGTCTCCCTGTCTCAATTTACTAATCTGAAAAGCTTGATTTTTATATCAATAATAAGGTGTGTGTGTGTGTGTGTGTGTGTGTGTGTGTGTGTGTGTTTACATAGATATTTACTAGAAATATTATTTATTTTTCATTAAATGCTTTTTCGTACCGTTTTATTTACTTAGATATGTACTAGAAATAATCTTTTTAATTTTCATTAAATGTTTTCTTTACTTTTTTTAATTAATGGATAGATGGGTAAATGGATAGATATTTACTAGAAATAATCTTTTTAATTTTCATTAAATGTTTTCTTTACTTTTTTTAATTAATGGATAGATGGGTAAATGGATAGATATTTACTAGAAATAATCTTTTTAATTTTCATTAAATGTTTTCTTTACTTTTTTATTCATGGATAGATGGGTAGATAGATAGATCTAGAAATAACATTTATAATTTTCATTAAAAGTTTTCTTTACTTTTTACTCATGGATGGATAGATGTTTTCTAGAAATAATATTTATAATTTTCATTAAATATTTTCTTACTTTTTTATTCATGGATGGATGGGTGAATGGATAGATATTTACTAGAAATAATATTGATAAGTTTCATTAAATGTTTATTTTCACTTTTCATGGATGTATAAGACAGACAGACAGACAGACAGACAGACAGACAGATAGATAGATAGATAGATAGATAGATTTACCATGTCTTTTTTTACTCTTTTCCACAGTTCTCATCATATGTGGTGCATTATGTGATTATGAACATTTATTAATAAACATAGTGCCTTTCACTATGAATAATGCTTTTAAACCACTTTATAATCCCAGCATAAGTATTACGATCTTGAAGTGACATGTTTAATGCTAAAACCCATTAAATACACCACTGAAACCGTTGAGAGCACAAAGCGTGCTGAAAAATGGTTTTATGTGTACTAATCAATTATCAGCCCATTACCTTTAAGAGGTAGATGGAGATGACAAATCGCACAAGCATGGACAGATTAATCTTAAGTACCTTTAAAGCGTCCCACCTTTGGCTCCAAATTAACGTCCTCTTGCGTTTTAATGCACTTGATGAGGCCTTAAAAGGGAAAATAAGAGGACCTTTATCGCTGAACTCTTTTAACACCCCTCGCCCCCTCGCTCTTCTCATGGGCCTGCGTATCTTCCTCCCGTCTGTGTGTGGCCAAGGGCAGAGGATGCCATTTAAAAGCAGTTGCAGATTTATCAGCGGCGAAGTGCGGTAATTTCACTCATTCAAGACCTGCGCTTTTAAGAAACTGCGTACGTCCTTGACACAAAACCATGATCGTACATGGTTGGAAATGTATTTTTTTCCAAAAAAATTGTATGTATGCAAATTGTATTATATCCAAGGTACACATTTCTAGTAATTGTGTAGGTAATTCTCATATTGTATTTTCAGAAAGTGTCCTTTCCCCTAATTTGTCACTACCGAAACATAGTAATAATAATTTAATTAGAAGGGTTATATTGACCAATTAAGATTTTGCTTACATCTAGATTGTAAATATATATTTTTGCTATTTTACTCAAATTTGTAAAGTAAGTAGTAAGGTAAGTCCATAACAATTAAATGTTTAACAATATTTCAAGTGTAATTTATGAGATTTGTTGTATTTTGAATCCAATTTTTCT